CATATAAAATAAAAAAAATATAAATTTATATATATATTTATAAATATATTAACAATTAATTTTTACTTAACCTAATTAGCTAACCCAATATCAATACAACCTAAATTTCACAATCCATTCTTTTTTCAGTTTTCCCAAACCCAATTGTCAAGTCCAGCCTATTCTTGTTGTCAATCTAGTCTTCCTAAACCTAATTGCCCAACCCAATTTGCATTGGTAACCCTAGAAGGACTATCCAAAGATTTCAATTTCAAATTTGTGATTCCTCTTCTTCGGTCTCTTTTGTGGCTCTACGTTATAACTTTGTTTCTGCTCCTCAATCCTCATCTATGATTCTCTTCAAGCTTTCACCGTCACTACCCATTGTGCAACCATTGCAACGTTGATCTTCTCCCATCTCTCACTCACACTCAACTTGATAGCTCTTCTCCAATCTTTCAACCAGTCACTAGCAACTCATCTCTTTTATGCCATTTTTCTTAATGAACTTATTGTTGGACATGTGTAGCAACAATTTATGTATTTTTTTTCTATGAACTTTGCTGATGACAGTTGCAATTTATGCTTTTTCTTTTTTATGAACCTTTTGCTGGATTTGTTGGACTTATATGGCAGTTATGCCTTTTTTCTTTATGAACTTGTTGCTGACTTGCTGGACTTGCTTGACATGTATATATTAGATGTGTATATTTACTACTTGTTTGTCTTGTTTCAAATTTTTACTTTATATGATTATTTGAACTAGTTTTATTTAATGAATGTGGAAACTAATGGAGTATAAGCAGACTCATGTTGAGTTTAGTTTTGATTAACAAATGGTGGAGGAGATGATAGTTTTATTTGATGGAGACTCCAAATACCCGCGGGGAATGATAGGTCCCCGCGGATATAGGGACGGAGGCTATTTTTGAACCTCTGCCAAAAATCCCTGTGGGGGATCCCCATACCCGCCATTGACGGAGATGGGGATGGCGAAGGGGTCCTCGCCCTTGTGGGGACCTGTTGCCATCCTTAGACTAGGGCCAATGAGAAGTTCCGCTGCTACACGTGATCATACTAGATATTGTGATTTCCATCAAGATCATGGTCATATAACGGAGCAATGTAATAGTTTGAGGTCCAAGCTGGAAAGTCTAGCTCAAAAGGGAATGCTCAATGAATACATCCAGAGATCCGAGCAACCAAAGTTTGTTAGAGAATAGGGGCCACAACCGTAGGGATCTCGTAACGCAAGAAATAGACAAGGAGTGGGATATCGACAAGCTCCACCATCGCTTCCACCATCGGCCAGAATTATACACATGATTACTGGAGGATTGAAAGTAGGGGGTTTGAGCTCCAAGCAGAGAAAATTGTATGTTAGGGAGGTGAAGCATCAAAACCGAGCCCAGAAACAAAAGTTTGACGACGCTGATTGGAAGAACCAACCAATCACTTTCACATCTGCTGCTTTCGATACAGTTGTCACACATCATAATGATCCCCTAGTCACTTTCATTATGATTAACTACTGTGAAGTACAACATGTCCTTGTTGACACAAGGAGTGCACCAGACATTATGTACTTTCATTGTTTTGAGAGTCTCGGGCTGGATCCAGCTTTGTTGCAGAGGTACGATGGTCCCATCTATGGATTCAATAACCAACTTGTTTAGGTAGAAAGAGTCCTCACTCTCAACATTGCTTTTGGGAGTGGTTGAACTTATGTTACCCTTTCAGTTTGGTTTCTAATTGTGAAAATGGCATCCTCTTTCAATGCTGTTATTAGACAACCCACATTAATCGAGATCCAAGCTGTGGTCTCTTAATCTCACCTCTGCACGAAGTTCTCAACTCCCATGGGGATAGCAACATTACGAGCTAACCAGGAGGTAGCTAGACATTGCTATATGACCTTGGTTACAAGGCCTCAAAAAGGAAAAGATTTGACAGCAAAAACCATTCCCCAACCAGTTCATGATAATCAACAAGTAATGGGGGTTGAGATAGTAGACAACTGACTAGAGGATGAAATTAGAGCCACCCTAGTTGAGGATGTAGAGGAAGTGCAAATTGATGACAAAGATCAAAACAGGAAGACATAGATTGGAACTCGATTGAACCCAAAGGATAGAGCAAAGCTCATAGCTTTCCTCCGAGCTAACAAAGATGTCTTCGCTTGGACCTCAACAGACATGCTAGGGATCCCAACCTCGGTACCTCAACACAAGCTTAGCACTAATCCATTAAAGAAACCAATAGCCCAGAAGTGATGTCTCTTTGGGGGGGAGAGGCTTCAGGTTATAAAAGAAGAGGTAGAGAAGCTCCTACAAGTTGGTTTTGTCAAAAGAGTTGATTACTACGAATGGGTGGCTAACCTGGTGTTGGTCAAAAAGACAAATGGTAAATGGCGAATGTGCATTGACTACACAAATCTCAACCAAGCTTGTCACAAGGACTGCTATCCAATGCCAAGCATTGACAAACTGGTTGAAGCAGCTTCTGGAAATGAGAGATTAAGTCTCTTGGATGCATATTCTGGTTACCACCAAGTGTCGATGGCTCCAAAGGATAAAGAGAAAACATCGTTCTATGTTAGTGACGAAATTTATTGCTATGTCATGATTCCATTTGGCTTAAAGATCGTAAGTTCCACTTACCAAAGAATGGTGACCATTGTTTTTTGAGCTCAGATCGGTAGGAATCTGGAAGTTTATGTTGATGACATCAATGTGAAGAGCTTAAAGGCAGAGGATCACCTTGCCGACCTTGATGAAATATTCAATAATCTCAGGAAGAACAAAATACGATTGAATCCAGCAAAGTGCATCTTCGGCGTAAAATTTGGGAAATTTCTAGGATTTATGGTTTCCCGGAGGGGGATTGAGCTTAACCCGAAAAAGATCAAAGCAATAGCCGAGATGGAACCACCAAAGTTGGTGAAAGATATACAGAGATTAATAGGAAAGGTAGTAGCTCTTCACAGATTCATTTTGAAGTCAGCAAATAAGTGCCTGCCATTCTTCAAGATTATGCGATCAGTAGCCCAGAAGGATGAATCTAGCAAACAGAAGAAGTTTGAATGGAACCAAGAGTGCCAAGCTGCATTTGATGAGTTGAAGTCTTATCTTAGCTCACCGCCCTTGCTGACAAAGGCTATGGATGGAGAAATTCTCTATTTGTACCTCGATATTTCTGATGAAGCAATCAGTTCAATGCTGGTGAGAGAACAAGGCAAACAGTAGAAACTAGTATATTATACCAGCAGCGTGCTGCACAGAGCAGAACTGAGATACCATATTGTTGAAAAAGCAACGTTGGCAGTTGTTACTTTGGCTAGAAAATTAAGACCGTATTTCCAGTCACATCCAATCATAATCCTCACTGACAAACCTCTTCGACAGATCCTTCAGAAGCTAGAGTGCTCCGGAAGGTTAATTAAGTGGGCAGTAGAACTGGGGGAATTTGAGATAACATTTTAGTAGAGGTCCGCAATCCGAGCTCAAGCACTAGTAGATTTCATCGTGGAATGCACCCCATGTCATTCAAACCCGAACCCTGAGCTAAGCAACTGGACCTTATATGTTGATGAAGCATCCAGTAGCAAGGGTTCAGGAGCGGGTGCTCTCTTAATTGGCCCAGAGGGATATCGAAGTGAGCATGCTTTGAAGTTTAACTTTGATGCAACTAATAACATGGCTGAATATGAAGCTCTGCTACTTGGTCTACAACTCGTGTTAAAGTTGAAAGTCATGGCCATTAAAGTTTATAGTGACTCGCAGCTTGTGGTTAATCAAGTCAACTCAGTCTGCGAAATTGTTGATCTTGTCATGACGAAGTATGTGGCCCTGGTGGTTGTATAATACACCTCCCTAGGCACTCTTAGTCCTAGAAGAGTTCGAAAACAAAATTTATAGTAAAGAATTGCAGCGGAAATAAAAACACTTATGATATAAAATATTTCTTCAAAAGAGAACCTGTATTCAGAAAATCAATTTTATAAAAGAATATCATATATATATTGGAAAATGCCAAAATATTTAAAGTTATAAGATAAACTAAGCTAAGTTCATTTATAATTAATTTAAAGGTTTTATACATAAAGCTAATTTACACAAAAATTATATGAGGCAAATTATTCTTCAAAGCTTTTCAAAAAAACAAAAGCTGAGTCATTGTTTTGGTAACACATCGATCTACCTCCTTATTGAAAACACGAGGCCCTAGCTTGTACATACAACGAGCATGTGAGTCCCGTGCCAAAAGCTCCTAAACCGAGAGGCTGCTACCTCGATCTACTGATTTGAAATTGGGGGGGGGAATTTTATGAGCTCACAGCCCAGTAAGTAATAAGTTTAAGCTATAAGTTTAAGCTATAAACTTAGGTCCTAAGACCTTTAGACCTATCCACACAAAGATTATAAGATACAACGGAATCAAATCACATAATATTTTAATTCTCACTATTTAAATAATGACTTAATGTCTCAAATCATAAGCACAAATGTCAAGTAATAGTCAATGACATTTAAATTGAATTCATATACTAAAATCATATGCTCACAAATACAATGTCACAAGCACAATGCATAAAATCGAAAATCACACAATGCTATGGAGTCCACTGAGGTGTGCTAGCAACACTGTACCGCAGTTAATCACGGTACTAACCCTACTGCGCAGAGGTCCACTAAATACCCCAAAGGGTCCACTGAATACCCCAAGCTTTAAGCTTAGGTCCACTTACTCTATAGCCACAAATACATACGCATATCAAACAAATTCATAATATGTCCAAAATAATATTAGGACTCCTTATTGGAAAAGATCAAAGCATAATGCGTGAACAATAATTGTGAATAGTAATCGTGAACAGCAATCGTGAACAGTAATTGTGAACAGTAATTGTAAACAGTATCATGAACAGTAATTCGCAAATAATACAATTTACTTATAATTCTTGCAGTCAAAATTCACACCCAAATCAAACAATAAAAAGGACTAACTTACTATCTTTCCCATATAAGCCCCAAAATTAAGGATATTTCTAATAAAAGTTTAATACCCAAAAATCTTATAAACCAAAGGATTAAAGTCAAATCTCACCAATTTAAACTACCAAAAACTCTAACCCAAAATTCATAACTAAAACTTATACTTACCTAACAAAAGCACCTTAACCTTGGTTGGAGAAAGAAGGAAGAAAATGATGTAGGTGGAAGAGGAAGGCATAGGAAAACCAAATGAGGCTTTTGGGAGCCTTTTGGAGGCTTATCCAAGCTTCCACCGACAAAGAAAAAAAACTTGGGTGGGACAATGCTATGTGTTAAGTAAAATTGGGATAATTGAGTTATGGTCATTCAACTTCTCCTAAATTCTACTTAAAACCCCCAAACTTTAAATTCAATCAATTTTAATCCCTAAAACTATAAGCTAAAGGACACTAATTTTTAAATTATTCACTAAGGTATGTGGGGTGTTACAGGTTGAGCTAAAGTGCAAGTTCTAGAAATTTTGTTTGAGCAAAATTCTTAGAAGTGAGAATGAACAGGCAGATTCACTTTCTAAGTTTGCCTTTGATAGCTCCATAAGTTCCAGATCAGTTTTTGTCAAAGTTCTAGATGAACCAAGCTTCATGAAGCCAAAAATGATGGAGATCAACATAAACCTAAATACACCGAGCTGGACAGATCCAATTGTCTCTTTTTTATGAGATGGGTCAGTGCCTGAAGATAAGCAAGAAGAGATGAGGTTGAGGAAGAAAGCGTCTCGATACACACTCGTTGATGGAGTCCTCTATAAGAGATCTTTCTCACTCTTTCTCTTACGATGCTTGAATCATTATGAAGTTGAGTACGCACTTCGAGAGGTGCATGAAGATGTTTCTGGAAGCCACATCGGTGCTAGAACCCTTGCCCACAAAGTCCTCAAACAATTATATTATTGGCCGAATATGTATAAGGATGCTACTTACTTTGTACAGAGATACTCGAAGTGCCAATTCTTCGCACATTTAACTCACCAACCGGCAGAAGAGCTCACCAACCTAGTAGCACCTAAGCCATTTGCTCAGTGGGGGCTTGATCTTTTAGACCCATTTGTGAAAGGGGTTGGTGGTGTAACCCATTTGATCGTCTGTGTTGACTATTTTACAAAATGGGTTGAAGTTCGGCCATTATCTAGTCTTACTTCTAGAAAGGTTTAAGACTTTGCTTTCGGCTCAATCATCTGCAGATATGGAATCCCAAATCAGATCATAGCTGGTAACGGTACTCAGTTCAACTGCTTTTCATTCAGAGAATTCTGCTCCAGTTTTGGGATCAAACTACAATTTACCTCTGTATACCATCCAAAATCTAGTGGTATGGTCAAATCTGTCAATAAAGTTATCATGAAGGGAATAAAGCCGAGGTTGGAGCAACACAAGGCTAGGTGGGCATATGAGCTCAACGTCTTATGGACATATAGAACAACGAGCTGAACTGCCACATGTACTATTTCCAACCCAATTTACTTTCATTCTATTTTACTTCATCACCTGCTGCTTTACCCTACAACAAATATACACAATCTATAAAGCATATTCTAAAAATTTTAACTTAATGAAATAGGTGAAACACCCTACCACCTGGCCTTTGGTACCGAAGCAACCATTTTTATTGAAATAGGAGTCCTAAGTTTCAGGGTAACGCATTTTAATGAAGGATGAAATGGACAATTGTTTTGAGAAAACCTTGATCCGCTTGCCGAAGTCAGAGAAGAAGCACGACTTTGAACTCTAGTATACAAGTAGAAATTAGTCAACTTCTACAACAAACGAGTCTGCCCTCGACATTCAAAGTAGGAGACCTTGTTTTGAGAAAGGCTGGCTTAACAGGGTTTGAAACTCATTTTGGTAAATTGGCCTCGAACTAAGAAGACCCTTACACAGTGGCCGAAGTACCACATCCTGGTGCCTATGCCCTCTAAGACGCTGAAGGGAAGTGAATTCCTAGAGTCTGGAATGTTAATAACTTGAAGAAATTTTACCCTTAATAAATTTTTTTCAAGTGATTTTCGTCTTATTCTTCTTTATAATTATTATTTCTTCATTTCTGAGATTCATTTCATCTGTTATCTTGTATATCCGAGGTCAATCTGTTTGGAATCTATTCCTTGGATTGCCCTTTTATTAATGAATTTCACTTCATATTTGAAGTAATTTACTTCTTCTCAGCTCATATATGAGGTTATTTATTTCTTCTCAGTTCATATCCGAAGTGATTTACCTATCTAAATCCTTATGTTAACACAAAATAATTCAAAGTACAAACTAAATAATCAAACTCATTTAAAAAATTTTCCTTTCATTAATCAACAAATGTGTACACTAATCATTATTCAAATCCTAACTACATAAATCAAAAAATAAAAAAATCCCTAAACTATTCCACTGGAGGAAGTGACTGGGGTGGCTCCTGCTCTATTGGAAGAGGTGGCTGCTCTTCTTCAAAGGGAACTGGATGCACCTCCATGGGAGGAGATGGCTGACTTTCCTCAACTTCAGCCCCTTCTGCTTCTCCTTCCTCTTCCTCCACTGCTACGAAGTCGAAGTCGAAATTAGGAGGAAAAACGGTGCGTCTTTCTTCATCATGATCCCACCTCAACTTAACCTGAGGTCAGAAATCTACTGACATGCTTTTGCCGTTCTCCTCCAACCCTTCCTCTTTGTTCACTGAAGGTGATCTTGGTTATATCCACTTCGGGATACTCAGCTTTCACCTTCTTTCTACAATCAGTGAAGGTGAGGATTGTAGTCGGCAACCGGTAGATATTGACGATGTTGTCAAACGAGCTGGAGTTGATGGAGTTGCTAATATGCTCTTCCATCCCGTTGTGGACCAGCAGCTGGACATTCTTTTTGAGTTCCACCTTGAATTCTCTCATTCTCTTTATTTCCTCCTCTTGTGCTTCATTTTCTTCTTCGCACATTTTCCTTTTCTTCTCTTCGAATGAGAGAATCGTCTTTAGTGTGTCTCTCTCCTCTTGTAAACTCGTCATTGCTGGTGCCACAATATCCAGTTCCCTCTTCATTTCCCCATTCTTTTTCAACAGCTCGTCCCTTTCCTTCTGCAGGCTGTTGTGCTCCTTCACAAGCCCCATGAATTCTTGGGCTAACACATTAACCCAAGTTGCAGTCTGCCACACCAACACAAAACAATAAAACAAAAAAATAAGAAAACAAAAAAACACTACAAACATAGCATACAACAGTCATAATCACTAAGCTTACCTCTAGATCATGCCTCACAACTGAGATCCCTCCATGTACCAAGGCTTCCTCCCTCGCTTTACGGCGATCCACCTCAGGCACATAGGCATTGATGAAATTCTTCGCCGCAGAGAAGTTCTTGTTCCCAAAAATGCTGCTTTGGAAAGAAGGCGTGGGAACAACTGCTTTACCTTTGCCAAGGGCAGGAACCTCGGTCTCTTTGAGGTCCGGATCAAGCTCAACAAGCACAGGCCGAGGTACGAATTCCACCACCTCATCCCCCCTGACCTCATCCTCCACTTTCCTCTTTTTCTTCTGAGCTTAATCCACCTCATCCTTCTTCCTTTTGGACCTCAGCTCCACCTCCTTTGCAGTTCGGACTTCTGTACTTGACATCTGTCCTTTTTCCACGTTCCCATCTCCTTTCCCACTCGCAACCTTCTCCAAAGTCTTGGACTTCTTCCTTGGCTTCTTAGGAATAGCCACCCCATCAGCAGCACCGAGAAATTTGTCCATTTCAGTTGCAAAACAACAATTCCGTTAAAATCCACAAATCAGAACTAAACTCTTACACACATCACACAAGATACAAATACACTTTCACTCATTGAGCTCAACCCATAAAGCTCAGCTGCTTCTATAACATCCGAACTGGTGAGAAATATAATGTCTATTATATCACCCTCTTTTCTCACCAGCTTCTCTACTTCTTCCTCCTCATCACTATTTAAACTATACTTATTTTGGTTGGCCTTGTTAGCCTTCAAGGTAGACAAAAACTCTACTTCCCCATCTCCCCTCTCCCACTCGGTGTCATCAACAAAGAAAAATTTTTGCTTCCATCCCTTAATGGAGGAAGGCTCTGCACTAAACAGGTTTCTCTTCTTTTTGTTGGATGATCGAGGTGTAAAGTAGTACCACCCCTTCTCCTTCCTATTCCTAGCCTTCAGCACAAAAAAGTGCTTAAACATATTTACTATGGGCGCCTTAACCCCCTTAGCCTGGCAATATACTATGAACCCAATTATCACTCTCACAGCATTGGGAGATAATTGGGTCAAACCTACACTATACTCTAACAACAGCCACATCAACAAATCAGGCAAAGGAAACCTAAGCCTTGCTGCCAAATAATGGGCAGACACTGACATCCAGTGATCCTAGGGTGCAGAGCATGCCCTTTCTTTCACTCCAACAGGCCTAATTAACACTCTAGAAAAGATCTCGTAGGTCTCTACGAGATAACTCAAGCTATCCTTACTCCTGAACTTAGACTCATACTCTTTTACCTCAGACACAATGTTTGCCCCAATATCGTAAAACTTATCATTCCTATCTCCCACTTCCAATATATTTACAGGCACCTTTTCTGCCCCAACCTCAACAACTTCATTTCTACCTACCCCTCCCTCTATACGCTCAGACCCAGACGACCCACCGTCAACACTTACATCACTGTACTCCAGCATCCTTACTTCCTCGCTTCCCCGAATGCTCAATGTTTCCTCAAAAGACATCTTCTTAGTCTTGTAACTTTCACTACATGGAGTAGGGGGATGGATGTAGTCAGAATCTTCAAAAAACTTTAACTCACACTCAATATCACTCTCACTCCTAACCCTAACCTCTTTAAGAGGGCTTAAATCTAAATCAGAAAGGGTGAGAGGAGAATAAAATTCACCACTAGAACTTGAATCATAAAAGTTCATAAGTTACCTGATTTCGATAATGTAGAACGAGTTTTGAAGTTGAAAATGTGTCACACAAGTCACTCACACAAACACTGTAGAGATTTTGGTAGCACTTCAGTAGCAAATACAGAGAAAGTAAAACTCTTTTTACAGAAGTATAACTATATATACCAAAGGAAATATACACCTGAACGGCTCTGATTAATTTCATTTGATGGTCATGGTTACGTCGTTTCGAATTTGACGATTAATCCTTAATGGAGGTCTCTCGAATTTGACGGTTCGTTTTCCATCTTGTTCGTTTAATTATAGCAGTTACCTTTCTACAACTCGTATTTATTATACACGTCTTTCGACAAACAACTGTCACACCACGAACTAACTTTACGTCAAACTTTTTTAATGGGCCCCACTAAGCCCAACTTAGCACTTCTGTTTACTTTCACAATAACATTTTTCAACTTTACAAGTGTTTCACCTTGGGTCCGCCCACAATGACTACGGTCATCACTTGTTATTACCTCGGCTTCGGCCATAGTGACCCCGTGTCACACATATTTTCTCTTTAGCTCCGAACATAGTGACCTCACGTCACATATTTTACCTCGGCTTTGGCCATTGTGACCCCACGTCACATATTTTACCTCGGCTTCGGCCATTGTGACCCCGTGTCACATATCCTACTTCGGCTCCGGCCATAGTGACTCCGCGTCACATATTTTACCTCGGCTCTAGCAATTGTGACCCGGCGTCACATATTTTACCTCGGCTCCGGCCATTGTGACCCCGTGTCACATATTTTACCTCGGCTTCGGCCATTGTGACCTCGTGTTATATATTCTACTTCGGCTTCAGCTATAGTGACCCTGTGTCACACATGTTACTTTGGCTTCAGCTATGGTAACCCCATACCACATTTTTTACTCTAGTTACTGACATACATATATTTGAGTTACCAATTTTTATTTTTAACTATGACTCTAGTAACTCAACTATAATTTTCTGTCATTCTTGTTTTCACCTGATTATACACTACTCCTATCACCTTGCACAATATCATTCACAAGTGAATGACTTCAAGGGAGGAATAGTGTAAGGATATGTCCGAGGTCCCTAACCTCAAACGTACTGCTGCAAGCCCTTAATAACCGAGGTGAAGTTAAATCCAACACTTTCCAGTCAAATGGTTGCATGATAAATATAATGGACACGCCCACATTGGATTTACCACATACAATTTCCCAGTCTCGAAATTATCGCTTGAAAGGACACGTCACACTTCGATTATCTTGTTAAGTGAGCCACGTGAACACCTTACTAAAGGCCTATAAATACCCCCAGTGGCCACCTTAGAAAGGTAATTGAAACTGACCTAAAGCTCCTTTTTAATTATTCTAAAAAGATAGATCCGATTATTGTTGACTTAAGCATTGGAGTGTTTGCCTCGAGGACCCACCTCGGGGCTTTGCAAGTTCATCTGAAATGAAGACACGAATTGAAGACACGAATTGAAGAAGGACTTTTGGTTTGGTGCAATTACAATTCTTCACTTTCTCGTTTCTCCCATGCAAGAAGAAATAAAAAATTAATAATAATAATAATAATAACCCTTCTAGGTCTAAAATTCAAGTGGAAGCAACAAAGTTTCATGCGTAGCATACAATCTTATGCCTCAAGTTGTGTTTTGAATTAGATTCTCTTTGAATTAAAAGCAAGTAAAAAATTATTGTTTTTTGGTCTGAATTTCTTTTTTTTTTTTTTTATCTTGGTTGCACAATGGGAGGTAATTATCTCTCATCCCTTATCCCACTCCACCCGTATACCATGCGACTTGAATTCAGGACCTCATACTTTCAGCGGAAGGAGATAGTTACTGAATTATTTAGGTCATTGGCTTTGGTATGAAATTAAATGTACACAAATTTAAAAATATAACTATACATATAGGATACATGAACTAATTAAATTGACTATATTTAGATTGTATTTTAATGACTGAATTGGTCAAGTATCGAAAAATATGTTGAACTAAAAAATATATCAATAATTTTCTAGTAATAATTATAAGATATTCTATTAGCTTAGCTAATAGTTATAACTATTAATTGTTTCTAACAACTAAAACCAAACAGAAACTAAGGGGGTATTTGTTCTACTGTTTTATAATTAGCTATCAGCTTCTATTCACTCTAATTAAATGAATAAATATTCAAGATTGGAAAATGATTGAAAGACAATTTTTGTATGTAATTTTTTTCATACAATCTTATATATCATCTAATGATTTATTCTTTTAACTCTATTAGAATTTATGATATTATAGGCATTTACTCATTTAATAATATGAAAAAGTTGTATAGAAAAATTATACAAAAACGATTATTCACATCTCATTACCTTTTTCAATAAACAACAACAATTATTAACTATTAAATACAGACTATCAACTATATATCAATTACATTTGAATAGCTAATTCAAATGCCCCCTAAAATAAAAATTAAACGTTCTATAAGCTAACACTTGCAGCTACAACCATCAATTTTTTCTAACAGTTAATCCAAATAGCCTATATGCCTCTTGAGTCTTGATTGCTAGCTATATCAAAAAAGAAGAAATATAAAATCAAAGACGGCATGTCTCATTCACGTTAGGATTTGGGAATTTTTGAAGAATTATAATATTTATTTTCTCATAAGTTCTCAAAAGTCAAAACAAAATTCTCTTCTCCAAATATATATTTACAATTTAAAGCTAGCTTCAGCCAAACTCTGCAAATAAAAAATAAAAGTTTACAGACGTTTCTTATCTGTCCTTGAATCTTTCCCTCCCTAGTTACTCACTATGTTACTATCAGTATATAAGTAAACAGTGGCCTCATGGGTTTGCATAGATGAATTAAAGCAGAGTTAAGAAGTACTGTCTCTTCTCTATGGCTTTGAATCTTCTGCTTCTCTCCTTCATTTCTTTGAGCTTTTGTGGGGTGGTGAGTGCTGAAGATTCTGTACTCAGCCCTGCGGTGTTGGCTCAGCAAGAAGCAGACCGAGTCACTGGACTTCCCGGCCAGCCACCGGTGAAGTTAAAGCACTATGTAGGCTATGTTACTGTCAGCGAGACTCATGGAAGAGCACTGTTCTATTGGTTCTTTGAGGCCACCCACAACCCTGAAAAGCAGCCTGTACTATTGTGGCTCAATGGAGGTAATTAATAATACTTTCACATTTATTATGGATGGGATCTTCCTCTCAGTCCGTTAAAATGGTTAAATGTAGCTAATTATTAGGTAAGAAAATTTTATGTCATCAAATAAGAAGAAACATGTGATATTTAAAATATATAAAATAGGTTTTTATATTGAGATGAGAAAAAAATCAGTATATTTTCACATTTAAAATTTTTAATATTTAAAATATCAAAATTTTTTATGAAATTATTTAAATATTTTTAATAAATTAATATAAAAAATTTTACTTAAAATATTTAAATAATTTAATAAAAAAATCTTGACATTTTAAATGCTTTTTCTTTTTATCTTTTAGGTTAAACCCCTACTTTGGTCCCTGAGCTATTGTACGGACCCTCGATTTGGTCCCTAAACTAAAGAAATTTCTAATTTAGTCCTTAAACAATTGTACGAACCCCCGAGTTAGTCCCTAAACTATTATACAGATCCCCAATTTGGTCCTTACTATTTACCAATTTAACCCTAACTTGGTCTTTCTGTTAAATAATAGCTTAGGGACCAAATTTGGGTGAATTTGTAAATAATAAGGACCAAATTGGGGGTCCATACAATAGTTCAAGGAGCAACTTAGGCCAAATTATAAACAGTGGGGACCAAATCGGGGGTCCGTATAATAGTTTAGGGACCAAATCAAAGATTTCTTTAGTTCAAAGACCAAATCGGGGGTCCGTATAATAGTTCAGGGATCAAAAAGGAGATTTAACCTATCTTTTATCGCTTAACCTTAAATTAGATATTCACTATCTTCTTTCAATTCACTCGCTAATTCAAAAAAATCCCACATTTATTATGGCTTAAATCCTCCTTTCCTAATGTTAAGGGATTTTTTTTTTTTGAACATTAATGTTAAGGGATTAAATCATCTTCTCCTGTTACTTGGCCATCACTACGCCTGGTCCTTATGGCGCCTTACTAATTAATTAATCATTGAATTGGTAAGTCAACATAAGCTAAAATATATGTTTTTTTATTTTTAACATTGGGAAATATGGGGATGGGGGAATTTTTTTTTTTTTTTTTAAGTAATAGGTGGGAGTATAACTCCCAACCTATTGGAATCTAAGTACTTAGACTTGGTTGGTGAACCAATTGGCCCCAAGAGCTGATTCAAGCAAAAACAAATGTTTAGTTTAGTATTTCATTAAATTTAAAATTTTTACCCTTTTACTTCACATTATAGAATTTTTAATCCTTAAATCTAAAAGTTCATATATTTAAGCCTCTAAATCAATGGAATTTGTTAACTTTATATTAAAATGAGAATAAAAGAATTTACAAGATTAGTCATCAAATATTAAAGAAGTGACAGTTTAACCCCAAAAGTTTAAAAATTAAAAAAATTAGTAAGGTAAAAAAATTAATTGATGATTTTGTTAAATACATAAAGACAATGTTAGATATCTACAATTAAATCGAGTGTATAATCATACACTTCCATCATGTGGGTTTAAATTGAGCTAATCACTCATTTGGATTGCTGATATATAATATCTTTTCTGTGTATGTGGCAAATTCATCCATTAATTCTTTTTTTTTTTTAATTTTTAAACTTTTGAGACTAATTTGTCACCTTTTTTATCTTTGAGAATTAGTTTTGTAAATTTTTTATTTTCACTTTAATGCAATTTAATGGATTCCTTTAGTTTTAGTTTAAAAACTAAAATCTTCAAAGTTCTAAGTCTAGTAGTTAAAAACTCTATAATAGCATATTTTAACTTCAATAACAAACACAGCTTCATGCATGATCCTGCTGGCAAGTACCAAGACTTGAACACTGGCCAACTATAAGGAAAAGAACCTTACTCCTCAATTTCCAGCCACCAGGGTATCAAGAGCCCCAGTATCTTCATGCATGTTGGGTCATCATTAATGACTTCATCAACATTAACATAACAACGAGAAGACACCAACGAGGGGTTGAATCAAGTGGTAAGCGGCTTGTTCCAGTTTAAGCAAGATTTCGAGTTTGAGACCTTATGTACGCAGCAACCCCCACTGGGAGATTCACCTACCATTTCCAAGTGCGCAACGCAGGTCGGGTCTGGATTAGTCGAGGCGAAGCCCCGGATATTTGGCGGGAAACCAAGAAAAGAAAAACAATGGAAAGACAAATTTTCCCGAAACCAATGTGCGAATAAATATCCACAATTTTTACTCGTTATGAGCTACATAAGGGTAAGAGAATTCTACCCATAAGTTGCGTAAGAGTAAAATTTTATCCGATAACTTTTTAGTGAGGCTAAGGGCAATGCCTTACCTTGCTTATTTATTTATCCAATTAATAAAATAATAAAATTTTACAGAGATATTATTTTTAAAATTTTAAATTAATAAATAATAACTCAATTCTTTAATTTTTTTTTGTTTTGCTTTAAGATTTTAAACCTTTATATTTCTTAATTAATTTAATTAAATACTAACTTATTTAAGAGGATAGTGTTTCTCAACCAACTTGCAAAACGGTATGGTTAGTTTTGAAGTATTTTTTCACATAATTTTTTACAAATTTAACTAATAAATATTTTTTTTCCTTTATCTAAATTCTAATTTAATTTCTTAAAAAAGACAAATCACTTAAACAGTATCTTTTAATAGCTAAATTAACTTAAAATAAAAATTAAAAATTTTAATTTTTTTCTAATATTTCTTTCTTTAAAAAAATTTAAACTCAGTTTAGTATGAGTGTGGTTTAAAATTTTTTTGTTTTTGTTTTTGTAAATTTTACAATTCTAAACAAAAAAAAAACTCATTTACTTTCTCATGTTTTTGCAACTTATAATTAGGATTATTAGAGAAATAACAACAAAACATATAATTATGATTATTAGAGAAATAACAACAAAACTAATTTTAGTATTGTTAAACAAGTAAATATTTTTAGTTTTCAATATTAAAATTAATTTTAAATAAATTTTCATTTTTCATTTTTCATTTTGGTTTCTAATAATTGCAAAATTTATAAAAACTAAAACTTAAAACCACTTTTATACTAAATGAAACTTTAGTAATTTAAAATAAATAATATTATAATACAATATGCTCTATGTAAATTGCATTATTTTTTAATCATTGGTGGAATAATAGACTCCTAATATGAGAGGAACTCATTTTTTTATAAATAATTATAAGAAATGTAATCCACTCTATAGTTCATCCCTATTTAAAAGGTCAATGTTGATAAGCACGTTAACAAAAAGAAAGTTTGATTTGAATACATTTTAAAACTCTTCTATATTCAAGAAAGACGAAAAATAAATATTGCACTACAAGAAAACTTAGTTTCACCAACCAAATATCACCGAGGTAAGAAGGTTTCTCGGTGAAGCATCCATTTACCGACAACAATCAAGTCTGCAACTTGAGAAACAGTGGAAACTCGAGTAAGATATATTATTTTGTATACAGACGTAACACTTGTGGGTAATTTAACAAAATACATACATGTCACTCGTCGGTAAATGCAGTATCTACTCTGGCCGGTGGGAGCAGGACGAAAAGCCAAATCACCGACGAGGAGAATGCCTGTAAATTCAGATTTGGAACGAGAGCCTCGTTGGTAATTGGGGATCGATTTCCAACGTCCACCTTCTCGGTAATTTTCACCCCCAATGCACCCCCCCGCCAACCAGCTGGCCGCCTACGGCAGGGGGTGCAGCTTTTTGCTGAATGGCCGACATAAGCCTTGTCGGTAATTTGGCATTCAGCAACTCCCCGCGAATCCAGCTGCTGGCCGGTGGCATTGTAGCTTTTATTTCATTACCAATGAGATGCAGGTCGATAAAGGATAAATGGCCAACTTGATACTCGTCGGTGATGGCCCCGGTCAACGAGAATCCTGATGCAATGCAGAGGTGATCAGCTTTAGACTATAGCAATGTGGGTTTCGTCGGTAAATTTGCCTATGCCCTGCCGACCCGCCCTTCTACCTTCATTTTGGTCTTTCTCCTTCCATTTTCATTTCCCTCTTGTCCCGCGAGTTGTTCTTGCTCCCTTTCCTCCATTCTTTCCTTTGAAGCACTTTAACACATTTTTCTTCTTCCAATCTAGTAGATCAAGCAGTGGTAAGTAAAATTTAAGTAGCATTATTATTTT